GAGGACTCTATTTGCAAGGGAACGAGGGAGCCAAAGGACATATGGACATGAGGAAGGGAGGTCAGCAGTGGAGACAGGAACACCCACGTCAGCCTGGGAGTGGGAGCATGTGAGACTGTGACTGGAGGAGATCGCTTTGGCCCAGTGGCTGACAAGGCAGGCATAGGAGCTGGTGGGCTCAGCCAGGCTCAGGGTTATGAGCCCTAGTCAGTGTCAGAGGCCTGATGAACCTCCTCTTCTGTACTCATTGCCCAAGTTCAAAGAGAATGCGGAACCTCCCCAGATGTTGGTGGAAGGGATTCACTGTCTCCAAAGATGTTCGTCTCCATAGTACTGCAGCAGCCTACAGCAGCTGGGAGGCCTCAGGCTTCATCAAGTGGAAGTAGAGAGATTCTGGTGGTTTGGAGAAACCTGGCCCTGAATGAAGCTGTTCTAGTACCTGCTCATGGGCACGCCCCTCCTTTGGGACCCCACTGCAACCCATGTGGAGCCCTAATACTTCTCACATTGGATAGCATTTATGGGATTAAAGGTCTGTCTACCCAGTGGACAGTAAGTTCCAGAGCAAGGACCATGACTTATTCATTCAGCAAATATTTGTGAAGCTTCCACTATGTGCCAGGTGCCAGTGGGATGAGAGAGTTGAACTAGGCCATGCCCCTGGCATGGAGCTGCCAGTCTATGGATTCATTCCTCTTCATGTCCCCATCACCTGCCCAGTCCAGGGACACCGTAAATGCTCAGTAAGTGTTCCTTTTCCTTCACTCACTAGATCTTTAAAAGAAAGGACTGAAGTTGTTCCACAGAGAAGCATCTTCGCATTTCTTCAGAGACGCTCAAAAGTGATCGTGCAGTTTCACGAGCATTTCATTAGTAGATTCCTTTCATGGGCTCCATCACCTCCTTCTTGGATTAGTTGCTGAAACCATGTGCCTTTCTGGGGTGACCTTGTACCCCGTTCTCAGCAGTGCTCCTAAGCAATTAAGGCACTATTCTTGAGCTTCTGCTCTTTTCCTTGAACGACAATCATCTACCCCATCATTAACGAGCTCAATCCCTCACACCAAACCTGCCCAGTTTCATCAGACCTGCCAAGTTTCGCCCTGTCATTGCCCAAAGGGTGCTTGTTTTGCTTGCTCTGGATGCTTGTGTTAATCCCCACCCCTAGAGAAGCAAGATGGACAGAGAAACAGGTTCACTTCAGTTCTAAATCAGCTCCAAGCATCGGCGTTGAAAAGACTTAGCCAAGATCATCACATCCCAGCTTCCCGCATTCCTAAAAAGTAGTAAAGAAAAACAACAGCAGCAACAACAAAAGAGACATCACAGTTTGCCTGGTATTATCGTTCAGCAAATGCTCACTGCCTGGGCAGCCGGCACACAGCTGGCACAGAGGTTTCTGACCTAAAGGGGTTACTTGCTGGGGTGGGGAGACAATTACATAAAGAGTAATTACAGAATCATCTTCTTGGAGAAGGTCCAAACTCCTTAGCAGGGCCTCCAGGGCTCTGCAGGTCAGTCCTCGTGGCCTATTCCAGCCTCACCTCCTCCAACCCCGCCCCTATCCTGTCCACCCACCAGGCGGTCTCAGCTACACTGAACAGCATGAGAATCCCTGAACAAGTGATGCTTTTTCATGACTTTGCTTAAACTGCCCGTCTGCCTGGAGTGCCCCTCCACCCCATCCCTACCCCAAGCTAGCAGACAGCCCACGTCCCCCTTCTCTGACAGCAGGTTTCCCATCTGTAGCAGATCCCAACTGAAAGAAGGGAGAAGCCTCAACCTTAATTTGAGCTCTGAAATTTTATTTTCTCCTGGGATTGGGCATTTCACTTAATAAATTGAGACTATTTTGTGACTTAAAAGTAACCATCACTTTTTTTTTTACCATCTTTTTTTTTTTTTTAAACCTGAGATTAGCCAGAAAATTTTGAGGCCTGTCCCAGTTTTCTTCCAGGGACAGGTAGAACTAAACCCTCTATAAGAAACATAAAGGAATAGGGGGAGAAAAAAATAAATCTACATGATGATAACATCCCACCAGCCACATCTGCTTTACCTTCAGCTACGCACATCTGTCTTTCCCTTAGACTGGGTTCCTTCCTGCCTGGAGGAAGGATAGTATGTTCAGTTAAGACAGGGGTGGGCAGACGGATGGGAAATGAAACTATGCAGAGCAGGGCAGGCTCTGTCTCAGGGAGCATGTGCTGGTGGCAGGACTCAAGACTCAACGTTGCCCCAGGAATCAGCCTCCGGATGCAGCAGCATGTCTCAAAGGAGGCCCGAGGGTCCTTTCACAGCAGCTGCCTTGTATTGCACAGATAAACCACAAACTTCACAAAGCACATGCACCCCAGGAAGGCAACCTGAGTGCAAATGAGTATCAGCCAAGGTGTAGATGACAGATGTCAGATCCTTTCCTGCTGGCTCTGTGTTTGGACAGCGGACACCAGGGAGAAGAGGAGAGACCCACCTGAAAAGAAGTGTCGTGACCCAGTAAACCAAAGACAAGGAGACGAGGCTGCATGGCTGACCACCCATCTGTGCACACTGCCTTCAGCTCACCACCCCGTGGGATGTGCATCCCATCGCAGTGAGCAAAGGTAAGGAACTCACCCAGTCATACCACTACTAAGTGACTCCAGAGACCCTTCTTCCAGACCGCCTAACTCTGTGTCAACATGCCTTTGTCTCCTTCAGTTTGCATGGGGGCTACTCTGTAAACCTTCAGCCTTGTGCATTTAAGAGCTGTGGCTCTGGGCGATCTAAGACCTACCCGTCCACCTGACCTATGTGGTACTCGTAGGGGTGGACGTCAGAGGGCAGAGAGCAGGAAGGATGTTGCTGAGGGTGGAGAGGCTCTCCCAGGCTTCACATGGTACACCTGACTGCCTCTCTGCCCCACTGTGTGGGTCCTGCCTCCCTGCCTCGGGGCCTCCATCTGCACATCCTGGGTGCATGCTCCTATTGAGCAGGGTCACTGCCCCTCTGGCATCACGGAGGCTGGTGGAGAGCAGCCAATACACTGTTGACTTGCCCCCACATCCCCTGTCGGTTCCCTCACAGGCCAGCTTCCTGCTGGAGCTGGGCACCCATTGTCTGACACCTGGTGAAACAGCACAACTGGATCAAGCACCTACCAGTGAACTGAAGGTCATGGAACCATCCCCAGGGGCCAGTCAAGAGCAAGGGACACCAACTCTCTTCCAAACCCTGGCCAACCTTCACGTGTATCTCTCCTGCTGGTGAAAGGCTTGGGATACAAACAACCCCACTCCTGTGATCAAGATATGAGAGTATTTCAGAAAGTTTGCAGAAAAATAGAATTGAAAGATAATACAAATCTTTCCACGAACTTTTTGAAGACCCTTCAAACATCTCTGCCAACTGATGATGGGTCCCCCAGCTTTAGAGAGGCTGAACAACAGAGGTGGAGATGGGGGGCTAGTTCAGCTTTGGGCCTGGCCTGCAACTCCTCAGCTCGGCCACACCTGGGTGAGGGACAAATCTGACCTCATCAGCTGTGGCCTAGCAGTGGGACCAGCGCCAGGTCATGTCCTCTGAAGAATAATCCCTTCTGGGCAGCTTTATGTCTAACTCATCTCTAAGTCCTCAACACGTAGCATGACAGCACACAGTAGGGGGACAACATATGTTTAGGGAATGAATGAACATAAGTCAAGAAGTGACAAGAGCTTTCACAAATTGACATATTTACTTCATTATTAGTCAGTTGCATACACATAGATGTATTTAAGTCACTTAAGTCACATCATTGCAAGGACACAAACACACGCTAGCTCATCCCTCTGACTGAGAGCCTTGGGGAATACTCAAGTCCCAGTGCCCCTTCTCTCTGCATCTTCCCGCTGCTCCACCTGCTCTGGCCAGTTCTTCCTGGGCCTTCCCTGCCACTCTCCTTCCCTTCCTTCCTCCCTTCCTCCCTCCCTCCCCCCCCCCCCCCCCCCCCCCCCCCC